GGCTTTGTGCTTGCAAAGCAGGCACTCTATTGCTTGAACCACAGGTCCAGTCCATTTTACTGTGGTTATTTTGCAGATGGGGTCTTGTGACCTATTTGCTCAGGCTGGCCTCAAACCATGACCCTCCTGATCTCAGCCTCCCAAGTAGCTAGAATTACAAGCGTGAGCCACTGGGGCCCAGCTACCAGCAACTCTTTGAAAAAACTTAACTATAAAAGAAAAGGAAAAGAGTAGTAGGTGAGGTCAGGCATGTTACTGCATGTCTGTAATCCCAGCAATTTAAGAGGTAGGCAAAACAAAACAAAGCAAAACAAAAAACAGAAGAGGCATTGGAAGGATCATGGTTTGAGTATAGCCCAAGTGAGACCCCATCTCAACAAACAAAGCTGGGTGTGGTGGTATATGCCTATGATCCCAAATACACAGAACATAGGTAAGAAAATTGTGGCACGAGGCCAGCCTAGGCAAAAGTGTGAGACCCTATCTAAAAAAAATAAAGAAAGGGCTGGGATGTGGTTCAAGAGGTAGAGCACTTGCATGGCAAGCATGAAGCCCTGAGCTCAAATTCCAGTACTGCCCCCCTCCCCTCAGCCAAGAAACAAAGAATAGAGAGGACACAGGAGGGCAAAAAAGAATCGAGAGGGCACAGGATAGGAGGTTAGGGTGCTTAGATGTGGAAATGAAATGAGGAAGGCAGGATGGCAGTTTGAAGGCTTAAAAGAAAGTGTGGATTCTCTGAAAAGCAGGAAGGGGGTAGGTAGATGAAGTCAGAGAACAGCACAGAGCAGAAAGAATGCCTCTGCTACCAAGATGAAGGAATGGGGAGGAAAGCGAACCACAGATCAGGGAGAGGAGGCTCAGTGCTTTTTGAGACTGCTACTTTTCTCTGGGAGGTAGGAGGCGAAGGATCTGTTTACCAAGAGCTTGACAATAAAGTCATGAGGGTTCGCAATTGTAGTGTGATGAATGAGAAAGGCTGACACTTGAGACATGAACAAGCAAAATGGCAAAACATCAACAGGCGTGGTGTCATCAAACTCTGCCATTTCTCAGCAAAAACAAAACAACAGAAACGAAATTTGCAAGGAGGGAGAAGGGGAGAATGAGCAATTTAGGGCTACAAGTTTTACAACAATAACCTCAATTTAGTCTGAAGTAAGCCCAAGCAAGGGATTGGCCATTTTCCCTGAGTCTTCAAACACCTCTAGGTGAGACATAAAGTTTGCTAAAATATTACAAGTGTACCATGGTCTGAATCATACACTTAGCAAATTTGCAGAAATGTTTAAAAAATCTGCAGCCCACTTGAGAAAAGTCACAAACATTTTCATTATGTAGTTTTTATTTTAGACGAACATTATTGTAAAAAAAAAGTTCACCTGGAATAAAATCCATTAAAAAAACCAAAAACACAGCATCAATATCAGTACACAGTTAATGAATTGACTTAAACAAGATTAACCACTCGACAGGTCCACGTTATCTGCAAGAGCTTTTCACATTAAGCCATTGGAGCAAAAATAAAATATGTTTATATATACACAGTAGGATAATTCTGTGGAAAAATGAGATAGTTCCCATAAGGGGCATGATTTTAGTCAAATAGTTTATGGTATTATGCACTAGAAGAACTGCAGTGTTGTCTGCCAACAAAATAGAACTTAATCTGTAAGGCCATATGAATGAATGATCGTAACTAAATTCACATTTTTTTAAAAAGGTAAGAAAAGTAAATATGAAGTTCTATTAGTTCTTGGCAACAAGAAATACAGTAACATATGGCACATATTTCAAGAAATGAAGTATAATCAGAAAGGATTTCTAAAATAACTGGTAATTTCATTTCTGTACATTTAGTCATTTAGTTTACTATACTGAACATGACACCCATTAATTTGATTAGTCTAAAAAAAGACTGATCCTACTGTAAAAGTTTGCTAGAATTTGAAATTTTATTAGCATACCCTGTCCTTTGCTTGGTCCTTCTACATTAAGGGATTTCATTTTTAGACATTCCTTTTTGCCCCTGGATGTAATAAGAAAAAAGAATGTCTTTTCTACTACCAAAAAAAAAAAAAGTCTAAAAAATTCTGATCACAGAAAAGAGTGCTTAAAATCTGAGATAAGTAAACCAATGTAATGCAATGTGGTTAAAAAATTTGAGCTTAGAAGCTCAGTTCTAAAGATAGAGGACTACATTTATAAAGGAATCTTTGAAAATTGAAAAGAAGGTCTGCTTAAATGTGTTATTTACTGGTCCCAGTCTTCGTGCCAACACTCAGTATTCAGACCTGTAAAATGGAGTCATAATCTCTTATTTAAAGATTAGGAAAATGTAGCTATATTGCACAACTAAATTTATTAGTGGAGATGGGGCAATAGGATATTTTTATGCTATTGGATATGACATATATGTTCTACTTTAAACTAAGATATCACCTACCATTCCCAAGGATGCCCTTGGTCAAATCAGGACAAAACAAAATACATGGTCTAAAATTTGATGGACGCTTAAAGACTGGCTCACTGTTTTTCTACTAGGTGTTAGAATACTAGTTAGCTAAATGAGGTATAATTAAAAATAGTCCTTCAAAGTAAAGAGTATAGTCTTCTGAAAACTTATAACAAGGACTGCACAAAATGTTCACGTAAATAGTAAGAAACCCTGAGGCACCCCCTAATGGATGCCCAGGTGGATTTTTAACCATAGTCTGTCTGAAGTAAAATATAGCTAAAATAATTTCCCAGTGAAACATTGGACAATCAACTGATTTACACGCTTCCTAGTACAGCACGTAACCATGGTCTGATACCCTCAGAAAAGGTCTAGTCCAATCACTGTCAAAAATCAGCACATGATAATAAAGTGCAGCCACTGAGTCACTAATACTGCTGAAAAAAATCTCTAGGTACCTTATCCATAAGACCACAAAAATGCTCACATAAAAACTAGATTTCTTCAGTTCGGGCAGGGAACAGACAATTATCTGTCACTAAGTTCATCTACAAGTAGAAAAAAATAATGCACTCTATGTACATTATTAAGCAAAGTGGAATATTTATTGGGTCATTTTACCATGCAGAAAATGAATTTCCTATGGTCTTAGCTCAAATTATATACAATTTAGCAAAGCTAAATGTAAGAAAATAGCAAGAACAATTTATTTCTATACAACAGAGCATATACTCCCAGTTGGCTGCTACTTCAAAGAGCACTTTTAGACTCAGGTGTTACAGGCTCTTCCAAAGGGAAGTTCATGGAGACTAGTTATTAACCCATATAAGACAAAAGAAAAATGAGGACACAAAACAAAAGCAAAGCATTCTGTTAAAAAAAAAAAAGTAATAAAAGCTAACCACACAATATGTCAGTTTTGGTTTGCAGACAACCCCTGAGATAGAAAACAAAGTGTCAAGACACCAAATACTCAGAGGTAAATACTAGGAGAGTTACATTCATATGTGGTGTCATAGCACTTACTTGCCTTTTGGGGAAAAAAAATACTTTGTCATCATCCAGGAAGCTTTACTGCTTAATTTTTTTTTTTTAAACTAGAACATTAGTGAATACAAGACATTTTTAAGAAACTGTTCTTTTAAAAAATGTATCTAATTTGAAGATGGTAGACTTACAATCAACTTCAGTCATGGAACTAGCTTATCTAGGGACCACAACAGACTTTAAGCCTACAGTAAGTTTAAAAAGAAATCAAGGAGCCTGAAATGTGTCAACACTAAGTTCAGTGTACCCAGCAAAAACAGTGGTAGTATACTTGCAACCACTAACTTGTTTCTGAATTTTCAAACAAGTATTAAAAGCTGACTGGTCCAAGCATAGAATCGATATATCTTCATTTGAGGCAGACTTCTCTGTGGTAACAAGCAATCCATTTCCACTTCTATCTTCAGTTACTACCCAGCATGACAGCAGCCTTGGAGGCATAACAGTGAACACTCAACAGAATATTTCACATCCTCATCATTGCTTCTGTGTTGTGACACTGAAGACTAGAATAATGACAATGACATTATAATCCAAATTTGGCACATAAGTTAACACTAAATACCTTATTTTCTTGTGAAGGTTTCATCTACACAGGTAACAGCTAATGTTCAGTGAGGAAGGCAACTAAGCTTTTGGTTGGCTTTGTCCTGAATGATTGGATCAAGTTCTATAACAAAGAGCCTAAGCAGATGGTACTGGGTTCTACACATTCAGAAACAGTTGCTTTAAAACTGAAACCTTGATTACGTTTTTGCTAATGAAAAGGCAAGGTTTCCTAGAGGATGTGCTAGGTCTACTTTTACTAAAAACAAACAAAAAAAAACCCAAAAAAAACCCCAAGAAACTCAAAACAGAACTGAAAATAATTATTTTCACCATTACTAAGAGCTATTTCTCCAACTTGTATCAACAAGTTCATCTCTCTTCCGTTAGGAATGCTTTCTGCAAACTAAAAATCTAAATCTAATTTTTGTTAACGCTTACAGACAGGGATTATGGTACAAATTAAGAGGTGAACCTAAGGAAGAATATATTATATCTTCTGGTGTAACAAAACTGTATTTAGATGCTGAATGATATATTCCTCTCCCTATGTAAAATTTCAGTTTAAGAAGAAAGAGACAACAGTGTTTGGATATGTTATTAATTTTAGACAACTAAGTAGTTACAATAGTCAAAACATGGATAAGAATAGCAAATAGGAACCCCAGGAAAGGTGAGATCACAGGCTGATTTCCAAATGCAGTTTCTACTGATTAGGCAGAGGTAATCAATTTCCAAAGTGACTCCTTCAGCTACTCAACCTCTCGAGTCAAAAGATTAGGAGTGAAGCAAAGCTGTCAATAATCTGAAGAAATAAAGACACGGTGGCCTCTGATGAATAGATGGGCATTTTTGAGAATTTTTAAAATAAAATTTATCAGAATTTAATGATTCTCATTTCAGTAAATCATAAATCAAAGCCCTTCAGTAAATGCAACCAATGCAGTAACATTTGGCCATATGAACCAGACCAACTAAAACTAAAGAGTTTTAGTATATAAACCTCTGCTTAATGTTCCGTTGTCTCTTAAACCTGCCAAATGTACAAATCTGTCTAGAACTTCATGGCACAAAAGTGCTCAAGTATGAGTCTGAGATTGTGCTGTCATAGGGAAAGGCCAACACTGACGTGCAAAGGGGAAAAGAAGATAGCAGCTTCTGCAACAGGAGATAAAACAAAGAAAAACCAGCTAGGTCCTGTGTGTGTCTCCACTTCATTGCTTCCACATTTGGAAAAAGGAGCCTGTTCTTTTGCTAGGCCTCGAGGCTACAATCCACTAGGCATCGTGTTGAGATCTAAGTTCACGGTGCTCTCAGCAACAGCCGGGTGTGACTCTGAGGCTGGGTGACCTACGCTTTCAGAGAAGCAGGAAAGGGCCCACTCGTGTGTTGCAGTCTCTCAGAAACCAAGAGTCCATCAAAGCAGTGAGCAGCGGAAGAAACTGGTCTTCTTGGATCGGTTTTCTGTAATCTTCACTGGCCCACCTGCCCCTGATGAATTGCTGTCGTTCTAAAAAACAGAAGATAAAGGAAATGAAGGTTTCCTGGTTTGACCCCGATTACCTAAAAAATAAAACTATATCGTATGAAATGTGTACTCACTAGAGTATTTATTAAAATGGAAATGGGAGGCTGGTGGAGTGGCTCAAGTGGTAGAGCACTTGCCTAGCAAGCGTAAGGTCCTGAGTTCAAACCCCAGTACCGCCAAAAAAAAAAAAAAAAAAGAGAAAATGAGTTAAGTTTCAATATTGCCTTTTTCTTTGGAACTGGTAGATTAAAAAGAAGAAAATGTTCTTAGAAAAGCATTTTTATTTTAATAATATATCAGATAGGAAGCGCCTATTTCCAGTGCAGAGAAATGATAACCAGTACGGTGTAAAGATTCAAGAATACTGGTGCAAATGCTAAGGCACCAGCATAGACAATCCTGTTAGAGGCTCGAGTTGGTAAGAAGAGCTGGTAATGTAATATATCCCATTATGGTCAGGACTCAGACTAACACAGACTTTTAAGGTTGGCCTGATTATTAGTTATTGAGGTAATTTCAAATTTAAGCAAACTATTTTTTTTTGCAGGGGGGGGCTGTCATGCTTGCTTGGCAGGTGCTCTATCACTTGAGCCATGCCTCCCAACACTTTTCACTTCAGTTATTTTTTTAGATAGGATCTCATGCTTTTTGTCTTGGCCAGCCATGGGCCACATTTCTTTTGTAGCTGAGATTATAGTAATGTACCACCATGCCTGGCTTATTTGTTGAAATAGGGTCTGTTAACTTTTTGCCTTGGCTGGCCTTGAACTGGGATCCTTCCAATGTCTTATCTTCCTAATAGCTGGGATTATAGGCATGTTCCAGCACACCTGGCCTAATTTAAGCAAACTTGAGTAACTTTAAGATTACAGTCATATAAATATCTGTCACATGAAAACTGAACTAGATAGCTTCACAGCAAAAAAGTAATTTCTGTCATTATTATTATCATTATTCTGATCAAAGTTCAATTAAGGACCACTTAAACAGCCACATGAAAGAGGTGATAATGGCGGCAGTGCAGAAAAAATAAGTTTAATCATGTCTTTCCTTTTTATCAAGTGCCAAATAAAAATGCATAATGGAAATAAAAGTTACAAGTAATACAAACCATTTTTCTGTTGAGTTTTGTCATTATATCTCGTGCAAGTGTAAAAAATGCCTAAAGGTAAAACAAAACATTTTATTATTTATATTCATATTTCAACTCAAAACATGAGATTTGTCATTATTCAATCATAAATATACTATGATATAGTCTTAACTGGAGCAATATGCACATGAATGCTGTCTGTCCTTTACCAGTTATATCTGCAACATTTCCCAGTGCTATCAAACTGCCATTCACTCTCTCATCAAGTATTATCTGCACGTAATGTCTGCTACCAGTTCCTAGTATGACATGTGTTGAGTCATAAGGAGCTCCTTCGATTCACGGGGACCAGGAGAAAGGCCCCACTTCTTCAGCGTGCACACGGTGCCTGAGGCAGAAGATGCTAACACCTGTTCAATGAATGAACAAATGATGACGTATTACCCTGCAGCTCTAAAATATATCCTCGTGAAAATCTCTACCTTTCATGTCTGACCTCTTCTGAGGTCATACCTAAGAATGCGCCATCTTCCGTGTCTTAACACTCCAAAATCCTCAGTTCCTAGAGCTCAGTTAAATTCCCCACAGTGGGTATCAGTTCAAAATGAAGCAGGGCAAACCTGATTCATCTCAATAACACTATCCGTAGTATCTGTTGACCCACACACCAATATGTTTAAACCTGTTTTCACTTTTACTTTGTTTCTGCAGAGCCAAGAACTCAACACTTCTTCAGTTGTCTCCATGTTAAAGCCATCGTGTGGTCAGCCTCCTTGTTCTTACCAACCTGATCCCCACAGCTGGCCAGTCCATTAAATAAACTGTATGATAACTAGTATTATGACAGCTGTCAGGATCTGTCACATTAGTTACCTATGAGTGTAAGTAGCTCATCTTAGTTTTCTGAGGCCAACCACACTAATTTAAAGCTCTGGGAAAACTGCTACAACACGTGGCCAGAATAAGCAGCTTAGGCAACTTCCAGCTTCATAGGGCACAGCTCAGGCTCCCTTCTCAGCCCAGCTGTGACCAGGCTGTGGCTACTGGTGGAGACCAAGCCAGGACACGGAGTTGATTCTGTGGAAGTGGTCCTCTGTGGGCCATCACAGTGAGCAGGCTTCTCCCTGTCTCCACCATTCAAGCTACTTAAAAGGCTCTCTTCTTTCTAGTGGTGGGAAATCCCTTTGTGACAAGCAGAAGGAAGCATTTTTCTACTTATCTGTGCTTATGTAAATAAATCAGTGGAGACTTCTTGTTTCCCAACTCCCATTGGCCAACCTGAAAAGTGAGTGTTAGTTATTTGAAACACAGAAAAAGTTCTGATGAGTGTCCACTGGCTAATAAAGTCATTTTGGCTACCATGTTATGATGAACAGTGAGTAACCTAAGAAGTCAAATGTTCAGACACCATTAGCATTATTAAGCGAATTGTATGTACTGATATAAACTATATGTGTTAATTTTATGATTCGTTTTTTAAATATTTGAACAAAGAAAATATCATCCTCAATTCTACCATTGGTGAAGAAAATCTGTTCTTGAAGACTGTAGGTGATCTGTATTTCTTTTAACTGCTAACTTAAAGCTACTCTGATAAACACTCTTTCTTATTTTTACTAAAGGCCACAGTGTTATAATGTAGTGTGCTTAATCTACTTCGAATGTCTGCACAAGGGAATCTGTTCAATAAGCTAACAGTTTAATTCTCCCTTGTACAGACATGAAAGTAACTTGTCTGCGCCAGGCTACTACAGGGTGACATGAATGGTGACAAATGAGCAGAGGACACTGTTGGCCCGAGACTCTGATTTCCAAATTCCCAAACAAAGGACTACACTGAACTTCTATGTCTTGTTCAGCAAATCTGAATTGAGCAATCTAATTTCACCCATGTGTAGGCTGGATGCTAGAACTTTAGCAACCAAACTCCACAAGTCCAAGGCACAAAAATGCACAAAATGGAGATGTGTCAACAAAAGGCTTTCAGTAGGTCAGAAAATACTCAGGCTTTTGCAACCACTTGAGCACAGGCACCTAAGCACTGGTGTCACTACCTGATAGGTATCAAACATCTCCTTCTTACCTCTTCTACATTTGTACTGGATTTTGCACTTGTCTCCAAGAATTTAATCCCATAGTCAATTGCTAACTGAAAGGCAAACAGAAACATTATATTCAGTGACATATAAAGCACTTACACTCTTTTAGGTTTTTCAAAGCTCCCCAAAATAGATCATCTATATCAGAACTCCTGTGGGCCTCAAACTTCAAAAATGTAACTTAATCTAAAAATGTCAGCGCTTCCATTTAAAACAAAATGTTAGTACCTCTCTTTCCTCTAGTATACTTTTAGTTCTCTAATATACCAGAAGAAAAACTATGAGATGGATTCCCACTCCTACCATTAACTTGGGATTCATTTACCCTTTTATCTGCTCTAAAAGTACAATTCTCCAACAAATACTAAGCTGCCTTTTAATTATTTATGAATAAATTGGTCTGCGATAGAACAAAAACACTCAATGCTTTGATTCCTATTGGTTAAGACACATTTGAACTCTTCTTTATTTCTATCTACTTTGAAGAGTTCCTCAGCTCACTCAGGAGCACTAAAATTAAGTGAATGTCTTTAAGTTTGCAGTCAGATTGAAAAAGGAGATGCATTTTTGCATGTATCAATGGAAAAAGGGCAAAGTAAGACATAAAAAGGGAAGCCTCTAAGTCAATTTGGAAAATTCCACAAAAGTAAACATGTACGAAAAATAAATTTCTGCTTTATAGGACACAAAGCAGAGATAAATCTATAAATGATACATTTATAGCCTGATCAGTTACAAGGAGTTTATTTCATTATGACCTAAATCTAACATATAGCAAAATATTCTTAGGAAAAAAAATGAATTGGAAAATTCATTTGTTACTATTGAAATTTCAACTATCCTAGTAATTTTTTTCAGAGAAGGAATTATTTTAACTTTAAAACTGGGCTTTTCACACAGATCTGGGAGAAACAGTCTGAACTTTAAGCTGCAGAAATCTTAGAAAGAACCAATTTATATCTCCCAGAAAACATTAGCAAATTCTTTAGGAGTGAGTCATGACCACACAGTATATGGAGTTGGATCCTGAATACTAATTCCCACTATTCAAGTATGGATTGCATCTCTTTGTTGTTGATGTTTGATTTCAAAGGATTAAAACAGATATTTTAAAAACTTAAATCGATAGTTAAATGCTATTAAGAAAATGAATGCTTCATGTGATTAGACTGCAACCGTTATCCATTCAGTTCCAATTTACCTTCTCCCCTCTCTCTTTTGACACTTGTCTTTTGTCATTCATGTCACACTTGTTCCCCAGGATCATCCTTTCAACGTCTGAAGAGGCATGCTGCGGGGAGAAAAAGAGTGTATGCTACACACAGCCTGAGAAAAGTCAGTTACTCATCAGAAAAATCCTAACCTGTCAGTGGCATGTCAAGGCATTCAGCAATAAGACAAATAATCTTTCATTCAGCACAAGGCGTAATTCAGAGAAAAGTTTGAAGATGGAGGAGGGGAAACGCTCCAGCTTTAGAGCCTGCTTAGAGCCTGGGCAAACTTATCCCCAGGGACTCACAGTCATCCTCTTGCCTTTTTTCTTTCTTTTTTTACATGAGAAAAGAAAAAAAATAAAGCTTATGGTTATCTAACAGCAAAACTTCCATATATATATTTGGGAGTGTCAAAGACAGAAAATTTGGTACTGAGTACCCCAGTGGAGGAAGTAATCTGGATTCTGAACTACTGAAAAAAATAAGTTCATGTGTATAAAGTTATTACAATTGGATTTCTTTCCAAAATATCAAAGAAATTTTGATGCCACTTATTCTGGATTTAAGCCAAATTTCAAGCATCTAAGATGGATAAAATGTCAGAAGGGCAAAAAGTTGTAGGAATGAAGAGAGAGACGGATGGATGGATAGATAGATATAGAGATATTATTTATTTATTTATTTATTTATTTTTTGGTGGTGCTGGGGATTGAACCCAGGGCTTGGTGAAAGCTGGGCAAATGCTCTACCACTTAGTCACACCTCCAGCCCTAAAGATAATATTTTTACTAGTAATAGACAGAACCTGGGAATCAAGGGTCTTAGTTCTGTCTCTTCTTTTTAAGAGCTATGCGAACACTGCCAAATCACTTCCTTCTAGCCTGAATTTCCTCATATATAAAATGGGGACTGGATTAAGTTATTTCCAATATCTGGCCTGAGTTTAAAATTCTGTGAAACTGCTCCTGTATCCATAATCCACAGTAATCAGACTGGCCACGCCAGAGACACAGTCCCGCCTGCCCTTGCCCTAATTCTCAGCAGATGGCCACCTCTGAGACAGGAGTCTTCTACAAGCACCCAGCAGGATTCCTCCAGTGTCACCATTCTCACTCCTCACATACCTCTTCAATGTTTCTGATCCAGTTCTTAATATTGTCAAAGGATTTTTCATTAGTGATGTCATAGACCAGCATAATTCCCTGTAAGAGGAAACAAAGGACTTTATATAGTACTTTACATATTGAAAATTACAATGTACCATGTATCAATCAACTCTAATCCTCCAGAAACCTCTGCCCTTAAAAGAATCCATAATAAATTTGAAAAGTACAAAGAAGCAAAAATAAATTCTCCTATTGTCTCACCATTACATAAATAAAAACTCTGTTAACATCTTCCCTGTTAACCTTTAAGGAACTGGTGATTGTGGTAAAGGTGATACCCTTTCTACCTGACCTCACGTGATAATAACTGGCACTGGACTGGAGCTGCAGACCTGAGTTAAAACACAGGTAACACTGAGAGGAAGAGGTAATCACTGCCATTGTGCATCTCAGTCTAAGCAGAAACCGTCTTCTTCTTAGTCCTCCACTAAGACTTTTTTGTCTGTTTGTTTCTGACAGGGTCTTGCTCTGCAGTCTAGGCTGGCCTTGAATTTATCATCTTCTTAAGTACTAGGATTACAGGTGTGCACCAAATGCCTAGCCTTGCAGTCAAACTCTGTTCTCTTTTTATTTATTTATATATTTATTTTCACAAAACGAATTTAAAAAGAAACAAAAAATAAGCCAACAAAAACTCCCCAAAGCATAAATATTTAGTAAGCACCTAGTCTGTGCCTGATACTATACTAGGTGCTACCAGCAGTGAACAAGACAGCCAAGGTCTTTTTCTCTCACGGGTGGCTAGCAAAGAAAACTGCTGATGAACCAATGATTCTACAATTAATTATTATGTTGACAGTTGCTATGAAGAAGCAGTGGGAGCTATGAGCTCATATGCCAGGGACATAATCTAACCTGCTTTAGTGTTTGGAGTGATGAGGGAAAGTTTCCCTACAAAAGGCATTAAAGCCAAGAGCTGAGGACTGAGTAGAATTTTAAACTGTGCAGAGGTGTTGGGCTGGGGAGAAGATAGGAAGCCCATGACACCTGACAAACAGCAGAAATGTTATAAGTATCTCACTGACATGGAAGTCCAAGAGCTAACTGGACTGAGTGAAAGAGAATTAGCTTGGCAAGAACACACACATCTGCTGGGAAGAAGGCATAAGATGAGGATGAAGAGGTAGACAGGGGCCAGGTGTCCCTTAGGGACCACTGTCTGGACATCTGCTGTTAGGTATCTTCTGCAGTTCCCATACATTCAATAAAGTAGAACACAAGATTATTTTAGTCAGTTCCTGAATCTTCTATTTCTCCTGTACTATCATTTTGGTGAAGGGTAATAAAACCTAGCCAGTCAAGCCCAGGCAAACTCCTTTATTTATTTATTTATTTATTTATTTATTTATTATTCATATGTGCATACAATGCTTGGGTCATTTCTCCCCCATGCCCCCACCCCCTCCCTTACCACTCACCCTGCCCCCTCTCTCTCCCCCCTACCCTCTCAATACAGAGCAGAAACTATTTTGCCCTTATCTCTAATTTTGTTGAAGACAGTATAAGCAATAATAGGAAGGAACAAGGGTTTTGCTGGTTGAGATAAGGATAGCTATACAGGGAGTTGACTCACATTGATTTCCTGTGCATGTGTGTTACCTTCTAGGTTAATTCTTTTTGATCTAACCTTTTCTCTAGTTCCTGGTCCCCTTCTCCTATTGAACTCAGTTGCTTTTAAGGTATCTGCTTTAGTTTCTCTGCATTGAGGGCAAGAAATGCTAGCTAATTTTTTAGGTGTCTTACCTATCCTCATATCTCTCTTGTGGGCTCTTGCTTTTATCTTGTGATCAAAGTTCAATCCCCTTGTTGTGCCAGGCAAACTCCTGACAGCTATCTTCCCCTCCACAGCCAGTTACTAAATACGGAGGAGGGAATGGGGAGGGCATTAAATGGTAAATTTTATGTATTTTTTACTGCAATAAAAAAAAGCCACAGGAATCTGAATTTCTGATTCAAAGTGTTTAGCTGCCTACAATAACTAAAAACTAACCAAATAACTTCCATAGCTCGATCAACCTTGTTCATTCCCATTCCCTGTCTGTCATGAAGTGTCACTTCACTTGGTCAACACAGAAACTGTGGACACAGTGTGCTGTGAAAGGCACAGACTCTGAAGCGGGAAGCTTCTAGCTCAGGCTGCACCATATGTTAACAGGGAAATTCTGGAGATGCCATTTTATCACTCTCAGTCAGTCTCTTGAGGACAATGAATCTTCCAACAGGATTGTTTCAGAATCTAACGAGGTAATTTTTGTAAACTATTTAACTTGGGACATAGCTTGGACTTGATAAATAGCAGCTATTATTCATTTATATCTTTGGTTTCAACATAGAAATCATTAAACTATTTCCTATGTTTGTAAGCTAATTGACATTAATGGGAATCAGCTGGAAATACAAATTAAGTATATCAGTTAAAACTTTATGATTTAGTATATCCTACAATAAAAAGAGCTTCCTAAGAACTCAGAAGATGGTGCTGGCCTATAAGAAACACTGATAATGTAATGATATGGTCCTTTTTCCACTAAAGCCTGATTGTCTATCAGGATTACCGCAAGGCCTAAGAAGATGCTGAAGTGTTTGAAACACACCAAAGAATTCTGCATGATGGCAGGTGCCAAAATGCTGTCTACCAGAACCAACCAAACTAAACCACCGGTTGTTGAAAATAGTGCGTCCCAAAGAAAACACGATGGCCCCACATGTCCCTGGAGCAGATGATCTGAGAGATTCCAAGACTTTCACAGAGTGAGATTTCCTGAAGATTTTTCTAAGATTATTTATAGGTCTGATATTTTTCATTGATCCTCTCTGTCAGCAAGTATTTACTGAGTAGCTCCTGCGTCAGGCATCAACATTGTGCACAGCAAAATAAAAGAGACAATAATCCCTACCTTTAGAATGGAAAAGACAATACTGTCTAGGATAATGATAATTCCTAATTATTTGAAGCAATATGTAGGATTAGGCAGTAGGTACGTAGAAAAGACAGGTCATCCTCAATATATGTCAACAGTCTCTTTCCTCAGATCATGAGCTCCAGCCAGACATCAAAGTAAAACATTTGCTCCCACATTCTAAGTGTTCCTGTCTTCTCCCACGGGAAAAGGAGCATGCGTAAACTGTTAACATACCACTCCAGAATGTAAAAAACTGCTCAACAGAAAAGTTTGTGTGACTAAGATGCTTCTAACCATAATTACCTGTAAACTATTTCAAATTATCCCTGCTAAGATGTTCTTTTTTTGTGGGGTGGGGAGAGGTACTGTGATTTGAACTCAGGGCCCCACCCTTGCTATGCAGGCTCTCTACCACTTGAATCATTCTACCAACCCTTTCTCTTTTTGTGTTAGGTATTTTCAAGATAGGGTCTCTCAAACTATTAGCCCGGGCTGGCTTTGAACCTTGATCCTCCTGATCTCTGCCTCCTAAGTAGCTAGGATTATGGCATGAGTCACCAGCACTCGGCAAAACATTCTTTTTATTCCTAAAATTTTTCCTGGGGGAAAATAAACAAATGTGTTCCTGGCTTACACAATAAGTCCCTTCCCACTGATTCCAATCTAAGCAAAATAGAGAACAGCTATCAGTGTCTTAATGAAAATAATAACTTTACAATCTTAAAAGTATCAGAGGGTGGAGTGTAGAAAATACATACATAGAAGATGGTTAGTGAAATGCTACAGCTTTAAAAGGGAATCCCTGATGTTTTTGTGGAATGCATTACTGATACTCAAACAATGGTGGGTGAATGGCAGTGAAGGAAGAAGGCAGGGCAGCATGCTAAGGAGGGATCTGTAGATTCAGACCTTATCTTCCTGAAGGCAAAGGACAGTCAGCACCCACTTCAGCTCTGTCATCCTTTGTCATTCCCAAGAGTACAAAACTCTTTTCATCAAAGAGATGGGTGTGATGGCAGTTGGTACCCAACCATCTACCAGCTTGGGCTCCATGAGTTCAACATTTCAACCTTTAAAGACTCTCTGAGCATATTAGATCTCATCATAATTCAAGTCTCCAACCTGGATGTGGGTTAAACCTAATCTATTTATTTATTTTTTGAGATTGAATACAGGGCCTCATGCATGTTAAGCACATGCTCTATCACTGACCCACACCCGTGGCCTGTGCTTAGGCCGAAAAGCCAGAGATAAAGCTCTGGTCTGGGCCTGCCATTGTAGGCACAGTCCAGCACAAACTTCTGCTTCCAAGCTACCTTATTCACCACTGTACTACCAGCAGCACACAGGATTTACCAAAGCCAGAAAACAATATAAATATGAGTTGAGTAATGCTATTAGAATGGAAAGTAAGCAAGTGATGAAGCTATAAATTACATGAATAAAGCCAGAAGGCAGCAAAGGACTTAGTAGTCATGATTCCCCAGATTCTAAGCCTTGGAGGGTCATTCAGCTTTGTCCTGGCTAGATGAGCCATAGCAGGGGATGCTGTGGCAGTGGTGAGAGATAAGGGGTGATGAAGACAGGGCTGAGGGACAAAAGGGTGCAAGAAATGAACACTCAGTCATAATGCTTGTGGCTTGCTAAGACTGTCATAAGATATTAATAAAAGGAAAAAAAAAATCACAAAAATATACAAACACTTCAGAATGTGGATGAGTTCCAGAATATCTAAAAGCAGTTTACTGCTTATTTATTGTGAAGACCAACAACAAAATATAGTTACTAAAAAGAAAACATAAGTAAAGAACCCTTTAAAATCTCTTGCTTTCACATTAAAAAATTTTATTTTCCTCCATGATACTAGACTCCAGCTTAATCCTATAATATGGACAATGAATATTCATGTGTTACTTTCACCGGAAGAGTTACAAAACCCACACTCACCATGGCTCCTCTATAGTACGCGGTTGTGATTGTTCGGAATCTTTCCTGACCTGCTGTGTCCCTAAAATTTGAAACAAAGGAAAGAGTGGTTTTAAAAATCATCACCAGCATCAGTGAGGAGAGCCCTGAGCTGCAGGAGATAAAATTCTGGTCTGCTACAGGTGTAGTGGTGGCAGGGGAAAGGAGAATGAGAGACAAAGGAAGCCTCCCAAGTTGAAGGAATGGTGGCCTCAGGAACCTGTCAGAAGCTCACAATGACTTGGATGAAAACTTGAACCTCAATGATAAAAGCAGAAACAGGAAAATACATAAGTTCTGCTAGGAACTGGCCCATGGGCGGGAACAGAGAATAGTTCTAAATTCTTAGACTCCCAGAGGTAGCGATAATTCTTTTTATAAGTGCTTAATGATTAAGGCATTTTGCTTTCTTGACCCAATGTGTGATTTCTACACAAAGCAAACAACTGAACTAGACTTACTACTATGTACATTCTGCTCAGCAGAGCATGATAAAATAGATCTCCTCCAGAACTTCTCCAGCAGTGAAGCCCATGATTGCAGCCTGGAGTTCAACTTATCATTCTCTATACTTCCAGAGATTTGAACAGACACACCTCAAAACCCCATCATTTTCATGTGTTCTGGCTTTTTAGCTGATGTTATACCATTAAATATATTCTGATGGGTTAGGGGTATGGTTCAGTAGTAAACTCTTGCCTATCAAATGCAAGGCCTTTGGTTTGATCCCCAACACCAAAATATACACACACATACTCTGAAAAATACAAAAGTTCTAATTATATTTATAGCAGCAATCTTTGATGTTTGGGAAAATCAGTATGTTCAAATTTGCCACTTACAGCCAGAACTAATTCACTCCCTGTGCTACTAAGATAAACTAGATTGTACAATATAATTACAAGGGAGAAAGAGGCATCTGTGGAACTATATTAGAAATCTAATATATACTAAACTCTGACAAGGGACAAAGGTCCAAGGGAAATACAGTAAATTAAAAACAATAAATACCTTAACATTTATGGCTACCTTATCAAATACTTTCATACTGTGCTCCCATGATGCCCGCCTCAGAATGGTGGGGGTAGGTAATACTACTGCAAAAGATGGAATAGGCTCAGGAGGACTGTGGTCCCATCTCAGCCTCTAAATAGTTCATTCTTTTGAATGAGACTAAAGCATCCTAGATCTTAGCTGTTCAGCACAGGCCAAGCCTCATACCAAAGTCTTGTCTTGTCATTCCCGCATTGATTGGCATCAAGTATTTGGGCATTTGTTTTGTGCTCAGCAAACTACTCATGGGGAAAATAGAAGCCAAGCACTTTGAAGTTAATCACATTTTCTTGATTCAAATACACTGCTGACTTAGAATCAGTTTTGCATGAGGATGGAGAAGAAATCTTGCCACATTAAATGTAGGTTGTGAGGACTGAATAAAGACTACTTTGCTTCCTTTTTTTTTTTATTCATATGTGCATACAATGTTTGGGTCATTTCTCCCTCCTTCCCCCACCCCCTTCCTTACCCCCCCTTCCCCCTCCCTCTCTCCCCTACCCCCTCGATACCAGGCAGAAGCTATTTCGCCCTTATCTCTAATTTTGTTGAAGACAGAGTATAAGCAATAATAGGAAGGAACAAGGGTTTTTGCTAGTTGAGATAAGGATAGCTATACAGGGAGTGGACTCGCATTGATTTTCTGTGCATGTGTGTTACCTTCTAGGTTAATTCTTTTTGATCTAATCTTTTCTCTAGTTCCTGGTCCCCTTCTCCTATTGAACTCAGTTGCTTTAAAGTATCTGCTTTAGTTTCTCTGCGTTGAGGGCAATAAATGCTATCTAGCTTTTTAGGTGTCTTACCTATCCTCCTATCTCTCTTGTGTGCTCTCGCTTTTATCATGTGTTCAAAGTCCAATCCCCTTGTTGTGTTTGCCCGTGATCTAATGTCTGCATATGAGGGAGAACATACGATTTTTGGTCTTTTGGGCCAGGCTAACCTCACTCAGAATGATGTTCTCCACTGCTTTGCTTCTCAGAGTGATGACAGTCAGGGCCATGATATTTTGGCTACTATATAAGACTACTTTGCATTACTACAATGAAATACCTGAGGCAGGCTACTTTGTAAAGAATAAAGGTTACTTATTTCACAGTTTTGGAGGTTCAATGGTATGGCACTGGCATCAATTCAGCTCTAGTGAGGACCCTCTTGGCTGCAACATATCATGGCAGGAACACATGTGGGATGAAGGGATCACATCTCAAGACAGGAATTCAGAGAGTGACTCAGGGGTCAGGTTCAGGCTTTTATGACAACTCATTTTTGTGAGGACCAGTATTCCCTTCCAATGGCAGCACTCCCCAGTGACCTAAGGTCCTTCCACTAGGTGTACCTTTTAAAGGTTCCATAACCATCTTCCACTTCCACACTAGAGAATGAAGTTCTTACACATGGACCCCAGGGGGCAAACTACATCTAAAGTATTGCAGCTACTCTGTGTTAAGTTCTAAAGCCGATTGCCATAGGCTCCAAAAATGCTCCCTTCTGCCACAATCAGGACTGTAGCAGAATAAGACATTTTCTTTGCTTCTGTCTTTAAAAAATTATCTTCATTTCTTTGCAGTATTTAACTTCTTACTAAATATCAAAAGATGAGCTAGGCACAGTGGCTCAAGTTTATAATCCTAGCTTCTTGGGAGGCACAGATCGGAAAGATCACAAATCAAGGCCAACCTGGGCAAAATTTTACAAGACCCTATCTCAGACAATGGCTGGACACAGTGGCTTGTACCTGTCATCCCAGCTATGCAGGAAAGCACAAAAGAAAGGATTGTGGTCTAGGCCAGCCTGAGTGAAAAACAAGATCCTATGTCAAAAATAACCAATGCAAAAAGGGCTTAGGGCATGGCTCAGGTGGTAAAGCCCCTGCCTAGAAAGTGTGAGGCCTCCATTCAAACTTCAGTACTGCAAAAATAAGTAAGCAAATAAATAAAAATAAACAACAAGAAGAAAAGGGTAGCTTGTAGGAATCTTCACAATATTTTCTCATGAAGTATAAAAGTATATTGGGAGCACTAAAGTGGGCTAGCATATGAAGCTAACATTGTGTCCCAGGAAATCTGTGTAACGGTTTTCCCAGCGTTATCACTAATCCAGCCATATGCCCTCAAATAAACTAACCACTCTAAGTCTAGTTTCCTCCTCAATCAAAGAAGAGGTGGAGGACTTTGATAAAATATTCTAGTACTGCCCCAGTTCTGACATTCAAAGAAGAAAAAGAACCTACTGAAAAAGTTGATATATATTATAGGTTGAGGATCTGAAATCTAAAGTACTCCAAAATTCAAAACTTCTTGTGTGCCAACATGATGCCATTAAGTAGTGGAAAATTTCACAGCTTGAAGCTTTGAGTCACATCCAAAATTATTTAAAATATTGTATTAAATGACCTGCAGGTTATGTGTGTAAAGTATATAAACAAATTAAAGCCTTCCTCAAGGCTCCAAATCTATACAGCTCCACAAAGGACACCATACTGAAAGAAATTAAACTAGTTTCTAAGAGGGTGAAAAAAAAAAAATCTAAGAGCATCTGAGTTCAAGTGAAAAAAAAAAAAAACTATTCAATTTGGTAATCTGGAATATTTATTCATTGTAGTTTGAGAAATTCTTTGGAAATTTACCAGCTAAGTTATGTGATCATAAAGGAATCTTTCCTTCATATTTTCCAAAATGAGATATGGGAGACATGCTATAGACTGAATGTTTATGTTCCTCCAAAAGCTTAATCTTCAGAGATGGGCCTTTTGGAAGTAATTAATCATGAGGGCGGAGCCCTCGACAATGGAATCAGTGCTCTTACAAACAGACATAAGGGAGACGATCTCTTCCTGGGCTACTTGAGGATGCATGTGAAGAAGCTGTCTGCAAGACAGAAAGCAGACCCTCACTACATAACACATCTGTTGGCACCGTGATTTTTAACTGCCCATCTTCCAGAACTATGAGAAATAAATGTCCATTGTTTCAAACATCCAGTGTATGGTATTTTTGTTATAGGAGCTGTGATACTGTGATACAGTAAGAAATACGTATTTGGTCTCTGCCACTGGTTCCTGGAATTTCCAAAATGATGTCTTTTTGTATGTTAATAAGATGACTGGTGGCTGGGAGTCGTGAACAGCCTCAGAATGTGGCTGGATGCCAACAGTGTGATTACAGTTGGAACTTTTAGTCATACCACTCAACCCCAACGGAGGGGAGCAGTACTAAAGATTTGAGTTGACCATAAATGACCAGTGATGTGATCAATCGTGCTTATGTAATGAAGCCTCCATGAAAAACCCAAAAGGACAGGCTTTGGGGGTTTCCAGACAGGTGAACATACAGAAGTGGCTTGAAGCTCACATGTCTGGAGGAGTATAAAAGTGCCATCTCTGTTTCTACACAGTTTTCCTTGTGCATCTCCTCTATCTGGCTGATCACCTGTATTCTTTGTGATATCCTTTACAATAAGTGGGTAAATGAAAATGTTTTGAGCTCAAACCTGAGGACTCTTGATTTACAGCTGGCCAGTCAGAAGTAACAGGTGACAACCTACTACTTGCAACTGGCAGCAGTAGTAGTGGGAAGACTTGTAGGATTAATGCCCTCAACCTGTGGGATCTGGAACTACCTCCAGAATTCAATTAAATTATAGAATATTCATTTGGTGTCCTCTGGAGAATGGTTTGCTGTGTGGGGAGCCCCCCACCCCCTACACACACACAATGATGTCAGAAGCATGGTGCCAAGGAGAAAACTTTTTTTTTCAAATACAGAGTGGCCTGAATTAAGACAAAAGCATGACTTCTTTTCTCCCTATTTCCCAGTTTGAGTCCTCATTGTTCTACTTAATGTGAAGAAATATGCAAATAAGTTATAAAATACCAGAGCTTAGAGGGGAACTCCAACATCATCAATCCAACTAATTTATAATTGAGAAAAAGCAGACCTAGAAGGTGCTATAGTTTGGATATGTCCGCCAAAAGACCATGTGTTTAAGGCTTGGTTCCTAGGATGGTGATACTGAAGGTGATGGAACGTTTAGTGGGAGGTCCTTAGGTCACTGGGAGCATGCCCTTGAAGGGGACTGTGGGACCCTAGCCCCTTCCAATCTCTTTCTTGCTTTCTAGTTCATGAGGTGAACAGTTTGCTCTGCCATATGTTCTCTGTCATTGTCACCTGGTACCCCCAATCAAAGGCCCAAACCAATGGGTCCAACCGATCTTGGACTGGAACCTCCAAAACTGTGAGTCAAAACAAACCTTTTCTCTCTATGTAAGTTAATTGTCCCAGGTATTTTGTTTTAGTGATGGAAAGTTGACTAACTAGCACAGAAAGGAAGCAATTGGCCTAAACTATTCAATTTAGAGGCAGTGTGGCTAAAACGTAGATCTGTACTTTCTGTTTAGTGTTTGTAACATTTAGCCATTTTGCACTATCTGATTTCACAGCTGCAATAACTATAAAAAGAAATAGTTTATACTTTTTAGCATTCAGTTTCCTCCTATGTAAAATTAAGAGCTTTGGAAGAATGGATTGCAAGATCTCTCCTGGCTCCAAGAGTTTCAGGTACCATTTCCAACTGTCCACTCTTGCTAGAGATGCCTTTGACAGAGGCTCATTACTTACTATCTCCCCTTAGTTATGATGAAGATGTGTTAGCTATCACAAGATGCCTCTAACTTACCACAATTCACATTTTAACTCTCACTTTCAATTCCCAACTAGATACTCTGTGTATATATATATTTTTTTACTTACCAAATCTGAAGCTTAATTTTCTTTCCATCAAGTTCTATCGTTCTGATTTTAAAATCAATCCCTGCCAGAAAAACAAAGAAGGAGATGCTAAGTTGTTTCAAATCTAATCCAAGTCTTACTAGGAAGAGGACAAAGATTTCTATTGAAAAAAGCTCTCCAACGCACTGGAAAATGTGAACACAGAGAGGGTGTGAATGGTATGTTTCCTCTGAATACAGGCTGAAGAAAGGAATGCTAATTACTCGGCAAAGAATTCCCACACATGTTAAATGCAATGTATTATGTGCCTCATTATTTTGACATAAATGGACCCCATCCTGCAAAGTTACATAATTTAGATAGACTGAGAAGAGACCATATTTTCTACTTCCTGAAATACATATAAACAATGCTTCCCAATCTTTGCCCCCCCTCCCCATCCTTCCCTAAAGAAGGCCATGGGGCCTTTTTAAAATGTCTTTCTTCATCTTTTTCCATTTGTTTTGCCAGTACTTGCATCTAACAAAAGAATAAGAAACCCTGCCTATTTGATGGCAGGGGAGGGAAAGCCTCAATTTTATACAGATAGCAAGTATTTTATATACATTTTAATAAATGTCCCCCACAGGTCACTACCTAGAACTGAAATAGTAGAATGTTTTTAGCCCTGGTTGTAGTTCAGATTTAAGAAAACTTAAAAAACAAAAAAAACACACACACAAAAAAAGCCAATCATGACTAGGTCTGCCTTCTTCCCAAAATTCTGAGATTCTCATCACTTCTTGGCCTGTTGGCTAAGATCAAGTGTAGTATCTGCCCTTGTCAGTTTAATATCTGATATGTCCTCTATTCAAAATTCTGAGATTCTGACTTAACTGATCAAGGGTAGGACCTAGTCACTAGTAACTGTAAGAATTTCCCTGAAGCAAAAGCTTAACAGGGCCTAAGGGGTAGTATCTGAAAGTAATCTCATGCCCTTCAAAAACCTCTCCCTCACTTACTCCCCCTTCCCATGGTAACTCAAAACTTATGTAAGGGTTTCTACTACAAAGAACCACAAAGTCCTTGCCACATGCCAGCATGTTTCACCATATATCAGGAGTAAGGTTTCTGAGGTGGGTCAGAGAACACTTCTGGGCTGCAATTTGCTTACTCCTCATCATCTTGCTACTCAGCCTTTTTTTTTTTTTCTTTTCAGATTTTTCTATTCTCTTGCATTCTATACCGAACTCCTTAAAGTGACTTCCCAAACATTTCAAGAACACATGTAAGTTATGTAACCTCTAATGTCTTCAACATTAACTATAGGTATTTGGGGTAGGAGAATCTTCAATACCTATGCTTCCACAGTATTTATTCGTATGGAGATTGAAAGCACCCCAAAAGGCTGCTTCCTATATGCTTTAAATAATTTATAGGCATAAACCAATCTGATTTTCCCCTTCTCTGCTTGGTACTTTTCCCTAAAGGAGCCTTTTTTGTTACTCCTTCCAAAAATCAGGGTCAGGGATTGGTGGTACACAACAGTAATCCCCACTACACAGCAGGTGTAGGTAGGAGGATTGCAGTCCAAGGCAAAAAAGCGTGAGACCCTATCCAGAGAGAGAGAGAGAGAGAGAGAGATGACACAAAAGCTAATTTAGCAAAACAACTTCTTAACCAATCATTCTTTTCCTCACTAATAACTCTTGTTACCAAATACCATCTGATACTCAAAGTCCCCAGGTTGCATGGCTCCACATTTCTTCCTCTAAGGTACCTCCTCCAGCACTGCAGGGTCCGAGGTGGAAGAAGGAAAACATAGCAGTGTATCATGAATATTACTGCTAGCGCCCCACAGAACTTATTGTTTCTGTTGCTCATTTAAGACTCAGATGCTGGTTTTTATCATGATTTCTCTTTTTTATCTACCTCCAAATCCAAACCCTCTAGAAATGCTCCTCTACCTTTTATCTCTTTTTGGGCCAGGCATTAGGAAAAATACCCAGCACCTGGCAGGCACTCAATCAATGTTTGCTGAGATTAACATTTCTAAAAAATTCATGACCCTTGGGGCGGGGATGTGGCTCAGTGGTACAGCAACTGCCTAGCAAGCACAAGGCTCTGGGTTCGATCTCCAGCACTGCAAAACAGAACACAACAAAAATTCATGACTTTCCAGATCCAGAGAAGCAGAACACAGAATGGTAGTTACCAGGGAGAAGGGAAGGGGGAGTAGTTGATTAATGGGTATAGAGTTTCAGATTTGCAATTCTGGAGATTAGTTTGCACAACAATGTGAATATACTTAATACCACAGAAACTGTAAAAATGCTTAAGATGCTAAATTTTGTTTGATTTTGTTAAATCAAACTAAATTTGGCTTGAGAAAGCTTCCTTCCTCACATACTCCTGTCCTTGTTTATACAAGGAAATGCAACCTAACTCTAGTAAGCAAACTGAAAAAGCTAACTTAGGGTTTTGCTTTGTAACAAAAACTTCCCTGAATCTACTTAATCCCAGCAGCCAAGCTTTAGTCAAACCAGGTTCAAATAAGGCAAACAGCAAGTTTTAGCCACTATCACTGTACCTCACTTCGGTTTTCTGTACACCACTTCCCCTTTTGTCTACAAATATTACCAAGCCATGTGGCAGCCCCAGAGTCTCACTGAACCCGTCCTGGTTCTAGGAGCAGCCTGATCATTAATCATTCTTTGCCCAATTAAACGCCAGTAAATTTAATCCTTTCTTCCTTTCTCCTTCCCCCACTCTTTCCCCCTTCCCCCTCTTCCCCTTTCTTTCCTTCTTTCCTTCCTTCCTTCCTTCCTTCCTCCCTCCCTCCCTCCCCTCTCTCTCTCCCTTCCTTCCTTTCTCAGTATTAGGGATAGAGCCCAGGACCTCGCACATGCTAGGCAAGCACTCTACCACTTGAGCTATAACCCCAGCCCTAAATTTATTTTTCCTAAACTTCTTCTTTTGACAAAAGCACAGAAAATGAGGAAACAATGCATGATTTTCAAGATACTATATACCTGGAGAAAAAATTACAAGACAAATATCCAACATTCCATCACTTAATAGTTTGTTCACATTTTAAATGAAAGATGATGTATATCCAAATGCCTGGTTTTTTCCAGGTTGACTCTGCCTGCCTCCTGTAGCTGGGAATCACGGTGACATCCTTTATTCCATGTAGCCAGTCTGAGGCAGGCTAGAAGTTGGAAAAGTCTGAGTCTCATGCAGGTTCCCAGGGATGGCCCAGACTACCCCCACCTGGCTGGGAGCCACCCACGACCCTCCCCACTCACTCATTATTGGGTGGGAATCTCTGGGTCTGCCCTTCCCATGGGTTAGTGTAAATTTTAAAAACACCTGAAAAAGAAAAGCACACTCTCTCTGCTGGCACACTCCACCTGCACCCCACCATGTTCCCTTTGTATTTCCTTTCCTAACTTCCAATAAACCCCACTTATACACACTCTTTCTGCTTGGATTCTTCCACACAGAAATGCAAAGACCAAGGTCTTCTGAAAACAATGTTTGCTGTCAACAATTCTGAGGTTCTCGCAGTCTCACTCTCCTTCATTCAAAACATTTCAGAAACTTTCTCCTGACTTAGTCTGTGTGTGTGCGTGTGTCTATTTGTTAGAAGTATTATATTTCTGTTATTTGAGGAAATTCTAGAAGAGGGTGATAACTATATTTTCACTAATTTGAGGTTTTGAATTTTTTTACTTCTTTATTTTTTAATTGTTTATACATTTATTCATATGTGTATACATTGTTTGGGCCATCTCTCCCCCCAGCTCCGCCCCCTCACCCTCACCCCCCCCTCGCTTCCAGGAAAAACCTGTTCTGCGCTCCTCTCCAGTTTTGTTGAAGAGAAAACATAAGAGATAATAAGAAAGACGCAGTATTTTTGTTAGCTTGAGATAAAGATGGGGATATAGAGAGATTCCTAGCATTGCTTCCATGCACATGTGTATTACAACTAGAATTGGTTCATCTCTACCTGACATCTTCACTACTTCCTAGTCACCTTCCCATAGTGGTCTGTCAGTTTAAGATTACTTATTCACTCCTCTACAGTGGGCACATCAAACACTTTCAAGTTTTGGGTTTCCTTCCCTTTCCCTTTTCCTCCTGTACGCATTCTCCGCTTAGTGTGTGACCTGTGTCCAGTAATATTATTGCATTTATTTTAGGTCTATAATCTGCATATGACAGAGAACATACAATTTTTGGCCTTCTGAGCCTGATAACTTTGCTTAAGATGATGTTCTCCAGTTCCATTCATTTACTTGCGAATGACAAAATTTCATTCTTCTTTGTGGCTAAGTTCCATTGTGTATAAATACCACATTTTCTTACTCCATTCATTGGTAGTGGGGCATCTTTGCTGTTTCCATAACTTGGCTATTATGAATAGTGCTGCAATAAAAATGGATGTGGAGGTGCCTTTGTAAAAACCTGAGTTGCACTCCTTTGGGAATATCCCTAGGAGTGGTATTGCTGGATCATATGGCTGATCTTTGTTTAGTTTTTAAAGCCTCCATATTGTTTTCCAAAGTGGTTGTACTAGCTTACATTCCCAGCAGCAGTGTATGAGGGTTCCTTTTCCCCTGCATCCTCGCCAACATTTGTTGTTGTTGGTGTTTTTGATGATAGCTATTCTAACAGGAGTGAGGTGGAATCTTAGTGTGGTTTTGATTTGCATTTCCTTTATGGCCAGGGATGGTGAGCATTTTTTCATGTGTTTTTTGGGCGTTTGTATTTCTTCCTTTGAAAAAGTTCTGTTTATTTCAGTTGCCCATTTCTTTATTGGAGGTTTGAATTTAGGTTTTGTTGACGCTGCTGTCAAGAGCCCGTTGATAGACTGTGGAGCATACATGAGGAAAAAGCAAGCAAGGACCTTTCACTAAAAATGGAAGAGCTCTGAACTGGGAAGTCAAAAGATCTGGGTTGGCGCTTTGGTTCTGTCCTTGACTTTTGGACAAGTTACTAACAGGTTCTGAATCTCTGTATCCTCCACCATTAAAAAGGCTGGGAGGATCCAATTAGATCAATTAGATAACGTCTGTGAATAGCTTTGGGAACTCAAAA